GGTAAAGGTAGTGCTAAGAACTAAGCTTCCATAAGATAGATGGATCATATTTAATGTCATTGTGTTTATCATGTATTTTGAATGTTGTTATATGAAATGCCCTTGGATGGTAGTATCCTATTTTCTTACACCTATTATATATGTTCAAAAGTACTGCATCTCTGGGATACATGGAGTGTCCTTCTTGACTTTTATGATTGTTTAGGGCTGACCACTTGGTGGATAACCAATTTGGGTTTTCTCCCCTGTAGAAGACTATTTCTCTTGCTCTAACTCAGCTGCTTGTAGTTCTTTGTCTAGTATTGAGGCTTCATGAGATTTTCCTCGTCCACATTAACCTGTATCCTGGTCCTTGTTTGGGTCTTTGTTAGTTGACATGGTGTTAAGACTTCATGAGCATAGCTTCCCTGATATCTCTAGGAGATTCCATCTGGCAGAAAACTTTCTACTCCTCTAAATCTTACACTCATTCTGCCCTCTTTGCTACTATGATCCTTGAACCTTATTAGGAGTTCTATTTTAGATGCACAGAACCTAGAGTTGCCACATTACTAAACCACCATAATTATAAACTAACCTAAATGACCCATTTCTGGAGACTTGAACAAAGTACTTATAGGGTCATTGGGAAATGCATGAGGTACAAGTCTATATAGTTCAAATGAACATTTTTCAGTGACTGTTCCATGGAAGATCTCACCAGTTCTGGGTAAAGGCAATTACACCAAACCTACAGTAGAAAGTGGGATTCAGGTTAAGTTAATAAATTATAATAATTTGTTCTATTACCTTACCTAATACAGAAAGATTGTCTATTTATTTGAAATTGTTATGCACAGGAGGAATATTCTACTTCTTTCAAGATGTCCTTTATTCTGATCTAGACATGCACATGAAATATGTTTATTATGAATTAAGCTTGGAAATTATTCAAAACCCAACATTTTACTCAAGCAATAATAATGTTAATCATCAATACTATCTTTCACTGAATTTAAAATACACAGTAATAATCTAATATTCTTAACAGGTCAACTCAATATGTAGTGGTTAGTGGCTGGAGTGTCTGCAAATGTGTATGTTTTGTTTATTCAGTATCTACATGTGGAGACTATGTGTCAATCTTGGATGCCTATTTCACTCACTCTCTGCCTTATGTAATTTTTAATTTATGTCACTATATGAAGATATTTTCAACATTATTTGTTTGCTAGATTAGTTATATGTTATTTAACATCCAAAATCTAATCTTATTTTCTCTTATTGATAAAAGTATCTAAAATTTTCAGAGTAATGAGAATGTTAGAAAGTTATCTAGGAGAAAAGATACTGGTCTCAAATTTTAAGTTTTAGTCTTTTGCTGTTAGAATCTATGTTTCTCAATCCTGCATTATTTACAAACTATGTACTCCATTGAAATTTCTGTAGAAAGGAATAGGATGGCGGCTGATCCCATGAAACTGCAGTGTCTTAGTGACAATGCTATAGGGGGGTTTTGTTGTTGGAGAGAACTCATCATTTTTACCTAAATTTCTGATGTCAAAATGTGTAAAAATGCATGTAAATATATCATAATTTCTGTAATATACTCATTTCTCATGTACATTTTACTTGAATTTGGAAATGACATTGTCAGATGAAATCACCCAAGTCCCTCTTTTCTTTTCATTTATATTTTATTAATTTATTTTTTACATTTCAATACCAGTTCTCTCTCCCTCCTCTTCTCCCACACTCCCCCTACTTACCTCTCATCTGCTCCTCAGAGGGGGTAAGGCCTCCCCTAGGAAGTCTACTAAGTCTGTCCCATCATCTAGTTGAGGCAGGACCAAGGCATCTGTCCACCCCACACACTCCTGTGTCTAGGTTGGGCAAGGTATCTCTCCATATAGAATGGCCTCCAATAAGTCAGTTTGTATATTAGTGTTAGATCTTGGACCCGCTACCAGTGGCCTCATATATTGTCACAGTCACACCATTGTCACATATATTAAAGGAGTCTAGTCCAGTCTTTATGCAAGTTCCCAATTTGTCAGACCTGAGTCAGTGACCTCTCTCTACCTTGGGTCAGCTGTTTCTGTGGGTTTCCCTATCATGTTCTTGACTCCTTTGTTCATATTATTCATCCATCCTCACTTCAATTGTACTCCAGGAGCTTGGCCTATTTGGTTAGTTCTGGTAGAGGGTTCTAGCTTTTCTGGGATTGTGGATTGTAGGCTGGGTAATTTTTGCTTTATGTCTGGTATCCACTTATAAGTGAGTACATACCATATTTGTATTTAGGGTTTTGGGTTACCTCACTCAGGATGTTGTTTTTCCTAGTTCTGTCTATTTGCCTGAAAATTTCAGGATGTCATTGTTTCTTACCACTTAGTAGTACTCCATTGTGTAAATGTACCACTTTTTTATCCATTTTTCAGTTGAGGGGCATCTAGGCTGTTTCCAAGATCTGGCTATTACAAATAATGTTTTTATGAACATAGTTGAGCAAATTTTCTTGTGGTGTGAATGTGTTTCCTTTGGGTACCTGCCTAACAGTTGGTATTACATGGGCTTGAGGTAGGCTAATCCCTAATTTTCTGAGAAATTGTCATACTGATTTCCACAGTGGGTGTACAAGTTTGTATTCCCACCAGCAAAGGAGGAGTGTTCCCCTTTCTCCACATCCTCTACAGCATAGGCTGTCATTGGTGGTTTTGATCTTAACCATTCTGATCAGTATAAGATGGAATCTCAGAGTTGCTTTGATTTGAATTTTTCTGATGATTAAGGATGTTGAGCATTTCCTTAAGTGTATTTCTTCCATTTGAGATTGTTCTGTGGAGAATTCTCTGTTTAGATCTGTACCTCATTTTTAACTTGAATTATTTGGTAGCTTGATTTCTAGTTTCAGCGTCACTTATCAATAAAATTATAGCATACCTGCTACCTTCTCTAGACACTACCCTTTCCTTTATTTGAATTCCTGAAGTGTTCCTGAACTTCTCATGCCTCTTGTTCTACTTTCCTGCACAATTAAAACAATTCTTGTCATTGTCCATTGGATACTCTAAAAACACTTTAGTCCATTGAGATGACAGAGCAAGTTAAATACTTATCAACAATCCTGATGACCTTTTTTCATTCCCTGAGAACCACAAGGTGGAAGAGAAATGACCTAAGTCTGTTGATCTCTTTCATCCACAATGATACTATGACAAGTATGCAATGCACACATATGTTCTCTTACACACACACACACACACACAGAGAGAGAGAGAGAGAGAGAGAGAGAGAGACAGAGAGAGAGAGTCAGAAAGAAAGAGAAACACAGAGAGAGACAGAAAAAGAGAAGAAATCAGGAGAAGAGAAGAGAAAAGAAGATAGGAAACAAACTCCATTAAAAGTAATAAATTTTTAGAACAAAATTCAAAGTTTTGGAACTAGTCCATAGACAAAAATCTGTGGTCAGGCTAAGCACATTACTGGAAATCAGTTTTCCTTCCAGGCGAGTAAACTCCCCAGTTCCACACTTTCATTGCAAAGCATTGTTTGTACCATTGTGCTTTACATCCAACATGTTTGAATACAGAGTAAGTATGCATAAATACTGTTCCTAAGTTCCTTGTTTTGATAGATCATTGTCCTGTTTTTCTTTCTAGTAATTTCCCTTGTTCCAAGAATATTAATGGAGTTAGTTCTGCAACCAAAGTCCATAACAACAGCACTGGGTTTAAGATTCAAGACCAGAATTTTTGCAGAGTGATACCTCTGGAAAACATCAACAGCCACAAAAATAATACAAGGGAACATCAAACTTAGTCAATATCCTAGAAAATGAAATACTAAGTCAAATTCAAAGCAGAGCACCAAAGTTAAATGACTCACGTTTCTCATCTTTGAAACATTATTATAGTAATATGATTACAATTTGGCTTTTTAAAAGCATAAAATATCTTCAACAAAAAAATAAGTAGAAAAACCTCTCCAGTTACAATCAACTTCCAATCAAGGAACCTTATAACTAGGTTTCTTTTTAATTCTTTTGTACATAATTTATGTAGACAAATTTGTAGCTTAATAGCAAAAGAGTTTGAGAATGTATGAAATGTTTAACATCAACTTGCTTCTAATCTTTAAACCTAGAATCTATTCAAAATTCTGTTTAGGTTATTATGTAGTAATTTTATGTAATTATCTTGTTTAGTGACCATGTACCCTGAATAAGTAAGGACAGACCACATCTTACATACTTTATAATTTCCTTACATTTGCTTTTTGTATTCTGTTCCCACCCAGATATTGAGAAGCATGTGTTAACTTATTGCAAATAACACTCTTCCTCCAAAGTGAGAACCAAAAAAATTACTCTTTAAATCCAGCTGCTTTTTCATACCTCCTACACAATCCCTCCTGATCATTATCCACCCCCTCAGTATATCTAGTGATGAATGTTTCTTAGTCGTGATGCCTTGTTACAGTTTCCTATTCTGAGCCAGAATAAGAATATCTGTTATGTATTAGTAGGCAATCATAGGAATATTTACAATAGTTGGATTTATGCCACTGTAAATGAATGAATACCATTTTCTTTTATGGATAAATAATTCACAATGAATAGATGATATATTTTCCTATTTATACTTAAAATAAATTTGTGTATATCCACTGTATATGCTACTATGTCACATAAGGACATTTTCATACAAGTACATATTGTCAAGCATGTTCCCCACACTACAGTGTGCTCCATCCCTTTCCCTTTTCTTTTCTTCCACATTAATCCACTTCATTAGCTCAAAAAATCAATTTTTGAAAGACATGGATACACACACAAACTTGTGTCCTTTATTTGGTTTCAGATGGGGCAATGTTTTATTTTTTCTCTCTTAGTTCCAGGAGTTTCTGGAACTCTTATAGTTCCAGGAGTTTCTGAATTGCTAGAGTAGAAGTGGCAAGTCAACACATCAGGACCTGTGGAGTCTCCCATGATCGAACCATCCAACAGACATCCACACATGTTAGTATTCATCAGAAAATGGAAAATTAGGGTGGCCATCAAAGCTACAAAGACAAAGAAAATATGTCATGCATTTGATCATTATGTTTCTAGAAGGAGTGATTTCTATGTAGCTCATTTTAGCATTAAAGTATATGATTCTCTTTCGTAAGGCATACAATTTTCTTTTCTTAATTTCAACATTGCTTTCTACTTTTAAAGAAAACAATAAATGATTGCTTCATATCATCCTGATGTACTCACTATTCAACATATAGAAAATGAATACTCAAGTGTTCAAACATGGGTCTATCAACAAATCAAACATATTGGAAAGATGATTTAGCTATTGAAAACACTGGTTCTTCTTCTAAAGGACTCAGGTTTTATTCACAGCACATATATGGTGGCTCAAAATTATCTGTAACTGCACCTTCAGGGAATCTATGACCTCCTGTGGCTTATATGGCTTGTGGCATGGATGTGGTGGTCAGAACACATGTAGCAAAACCCAAATGCTTAAAAATTTAAATCACAAATAAGAAAGAATATATCTTTAAGTAAAAAGATATCTAGCCATTTATATTAACACTCCCAAGGATATCCAACAGATATAATTCCACAGGACCAGTCCCTTCATTAGTTCCAGCAGGTTCTAGATGTGGTAGATGTTAGGGTTAGACAAACCAAGGCCTGGCTGTGTGTGTGGATCTGGGTGGTAGGTGATTTGGTCAGTCCAGATAACTAGGGGTGCGCAAGATCTCCATGACTCAGGGTGGCCAAGGATATCTCAGAGGATTTTTGTTGAGGATCCAGTGAGATGGTGTGCCAGGAACCAGAGGTCTTGAACCAGACAAATAACTCAATGCAGTGAACATTTCCTAGTAAAGCTGATTGGACATGCCTTTAATCCCAGCACTCAGGAGGCAGAGGCAGGCAGATCTCTGTGAGTTCGAGGCCAGCCTGGTCTCCAGAGCAAGTGCCAGGATAGGCTCCAAAGCTACACAGAGAAACCCTTTCTCGAAAAACAAAACAAAAACAAAATAAAAAAAGTCCATTGTCATAGTAATACAATATGATCAAACACAAATAATTGTGCATGTTAAATTCCCAATAAAATATTTTCTAAATAATTATGATATGGAAAAATTAGGTGGAATAATGGCATTATATATATATATATATATATATATTATTTTGGAATATATATTATCCAAATTAAATGTGTTGAGTGGATGTGAGGTTTAACATTTCATTCTCAGAAATATTAGCTTAAATGGAATGTTTACTACAGTGACATTTAATTTCAATCTCATAATTGATCAATCATTCATTAACTTCTTACAAAATAAAATACAGTGGTTTTGATTCAATAATAAAAACAATATTAGTACAAGATAATATATCACCTCCAAGAATAACATAGATCACTATAAAAAATAGGCACAAAGGTTTTAAAGAGTTAAAAGATTACTCATCAAAGATAATAATATGAATAATAGTTCTGTCTCTATGAAATATTTACTACTTTATTCATTTTCATTATATTATTAAAATTAAACTGCACATAGAAAATTTTATTATGTGCAATATTGCATTTTGTTTATAATTTTCACACAATATCACATTATTTGTTTTGAATGAATTTTCCCATGTGGAGTTAAAATACATTTTTCTTACATTTCTTCATGTACAATGTATCTTGTTGCAAATATATATATATATATAGATAGATAGATAGATAGATAGATAGATATAGATATATATAGATAGATAGATAGATAGATAAAACACGGCATTCTTGGAATATAAATTCTCTTTAGCATTAGAAATGGATCTATATACTATTCCATAATTTTAATAAATATGTATATGTCCCTGTATATGTGTTCGAGGCATTATTTGTGATTGTAGATGCATATGCATGTATACAATTATTCACATGAATGTAGGGGCCATAAGAAACACTTAGGTGCAATCCTCAGAAATTCATTCACCTCTTTTGAGGAATAGTCTTTCATTTACTTTGTACTCACCAGTTAACATAGGATGGCTAGCCTGGAAGCTCCAGGAATTTGTGTGTTTTTGCCTCTGGAACAAGTGAATTGGAAAAGCACACTGCTGCCTCCAAATTTTAGTTATGGTTTCTGAATGTCAAATTCAGGTCTTTGCAACTTCAAGTCAAATTATTTACTGACTGAGGTATGTTTCTACATTTCCTTGGCCCATAAATGTTTTCTCTGTAATTTCTTAGTTCTCTACATCAACTGTTTTATATTTCAGAAAATCAGTACCGAATATATTATTACATGCAACCTGACAGCAGTTCTCAAACTAGAACATATAGTTCCTGAACAAAAGCACATCAGAAAGACATGAGGGTTTTCAAATTATTAAAAATCATTAATACAGTGAACATTTTCATATGCAGGTGATGATATAGACTACAAGGTTGGTGTTCAGACATTTAGTAGGATCTGGATTTAAGCAAGCCCTGGAAAGAATAACATGGTGGCATGATATTGATATTGTAAATGTTTCAATGTGTTCCTCAAAATGTCCACAGTGCATATCTGCAGGGCATACAGATTATTATCACCACAATGAAGATAGAGATTCAGCAGTGATGCAGGCATACCCAGCATACTCCCTGAAAGAGTACAAACCTTCAGATACAACAGATTAAGGTAATTGTGGGTCTGCTTATTCAGATGCTGTGAATAAAGTCAAAACTCTGTACAGACTAGAAAGAATTCCACAAGTTCGTTTTCCTAATCATGGGCTCAGATTGCCTCTTCCCTCTTTATATTTATCAAGATAACTTTAAAAGCATTCCTCTTGAAAATAAAGTAAAACACATTGCCTAAGTTACTTACATCAGTGCAGTCACATATCGTTGATTTCTGTTCAGGCCATCAAGGACTTTCATATCCTCTGAACTCAGCTGGAATTCAAAAACCTACCAAATGGATAGGAAATGTAAAACATTTTTACATGTTTACACTTCATTTTTGTGAACCTGCACATTGTCAATGCAAGAGACTGAAGTATGATGACAAAAATGTTGAAACCCTTGGATCTCACAAAATACAAAGATATTAAGCAAACCACTCAAGTGAAAATTGAATACCAGGGTCAGCATCACTAAAAATCCCTCCACATATTGAATCTACCCACAATATTCAGGCAAAGGAGATTTGAATGGAAGGTGTGAAGGAAGCATAGCTGATGTGATTTAAAGAAGAAAGCATCATTACTTAGATGATCTAAGCCTGGAGTACAATTTTCTACATGTGTCACTCAATTCAATAAACATCATTTATATAGTTTTATTTCCACATCTGAAAAAGAATGGTCAAACATAAGAATGTGGTTTTGAACACTACTTAAATAGGCATTCTACTAATGATAATGATGTTTTATATATGAGTTAAGAACTGTCCTGAAGGAGGTCGTCTTTAATCAGTTTGGGTAGCTTAATCAACAGGATGATTTATAATTACTGACATACTGAAACAATTGGATCCATAAATAACTGGTATTGATCTCAAAATCAATACTAAGAAAGAATGACGAAATGAAAATATCCATCATAACATGACTTACTCATTTAATCGACAGACATGGATATAAAATAACCTGAATATTGAAAGTTTTTAATACAAAAAGGGGACATCAAGAAAAACCAGGTATAAAGGAGACAGAATAGAAGAAGACTACTTGTTATGGAAGTTAGTGTAGAATGTAAAATACCATTTACATAAGAGGGAATTCCAGTAAAATAATCATGTTGACAGCACAATACCACCACAACTCATATTCTCTAAAATAATAAACAGAAATGATATAAAATGCAAACTTAAACACTCTGGTTGGAAGTTATCAGGTTGATTCTAAACTTTTTATTACAGAAAAACTGTAAGCCACCTGATACTACAAATTGGATTATAAAAGGCAAAAAGTTTAAAGTTCATGGTCATCTTCAACTACATTGCCAGTTTAAGGTTAGCCTACTTTAAAAATGACAACTTCAAAGTAAACTGCCATTATGAAACCCAAAATGACTCCCAAAACAAACTCAACCCCAAACTCCAGAAAACTCCCTTGACCTAAAATACCTAAAATACACAAGAAACTTAGCTGTCCTAGATGTTTCAAGTTCCCACTTTTTCTTTCACTTTTCAGTAACACTATAATGGAACAGCACTAGCTCATGGACGCAATTGCATAGCTGGACTCCCCTTTGTAGGATGTACACAGGTATTTATTAGAAATTAAAAATAAAATCTCCATTGAAAATATGGAAATATAACAAGGACAAACACCAGATACTATCAAGCTATGTTGAAGTAAGAGCAGAAGTAAGAATCACTGTCATTTGGGAGAGCCAAACTCATTTCTCATTAGATAAAATATGTTAACTGACCACAAGAGTGAGGAGAGATAGACCTTCATCACCCATTAATGATGAATTCTGTTATCCATTTTTAAATTGCAATTACACTGGAACACAAAAATGAGGTGGAAAGAACAGGAGGTGACATTTTCAAAATAATAGAGAAGAATATGAGTGTGTTCCTCACAGGAGTGCTTAATATCAGTCAACCACAGAAGAAAGTTAATAGGAATCTGAGTATATTGAGAAGGAATTCCTGTTCATGTTAATACATAATGAAAATCAGAAAAGTAGAGATTTTTAGATAAAGCTTCAGAATCCACTCTAGAAGCTGAGACCAATGTATTTTCAAAATACAAAAGCATAGTTAACAGATTGACAATAAAAATATGATAATACTACAGGAAAGATTTAGCCTGTCCCAGGAACAATGCTCCTAATTGATTGTTCACTACAAAGTGGTCATCCCTAAAGATTTATTTGTACCATCGACAAAAATGGATTCAGCATGTTTAATATATACATTGGTGCATATAAAACACATGCATACAGATATTTGTAACAAAAATAATTGGGAAATAAGGGCTTATCAATTTGACAATGAACAGGCATGAGAGAAGTTACAGATAGGGAACTTGGAATGAGATGGAGAAAGGAAAACAGAGGAGGAAAGTGGTGTAATTATATTTTAACTATGTTACCATCTCTGAGAAGCAGATTGCAGGGGGCAGGGGAGCCGGAGGAGAAGAGGGAGTGTGAACTGGGATTGGAATGTAAAAAATAAATTAATAAAAAAAGAAAAAAATCCCCTTCCTGCGACTGATCACGAGGTGAGTGACCCCTGCTCTTACCCAACTCCTGTCCAAAGCACCATTCACGCAGATCTCCCCAGGATTGTGCCTGCTTGGAGTAGACATGCCCAGGCAGGGAGGAGCTCCCTGAATCTGGGTACAGGCCACTCTTCCTTCCCTTCCCGCCGACTGATCACAATGAGGTGAGTGACCCCCTGCTCTTACCCAACTCCTGTCCAAAGCACCATTCACCCAGATCTCCCTGGGCTTGTGCATGCTTGGAGTAGACACTCCCAGACAGGGAGGAGCTCCCTGAATCTGGGTACAGGCTACTCTTCCTTTCCTTTCCGCCAACCAATCAGCAACTAGGTTAGTGATCCCCTGCTCTTATCCAGCTCCTGTCCAAAGTGCCATTCATCCAGATCTCCACGGGCTTGTGCATGCCTGGAGTAGACACTCCCAGAGAGGGAGGAGCTCCCTGAATCTGGGTACAGGCCATTCTTCCTTCCCTTTCCTACGACTGATCACAACGAGGTGAGTGACCCCCTGCTCTTACCCAACTCCTGTCCAAAGCGCCATTCACGCAGATCTCCCCAGGCTTGTGCATGCTTGGAGTAGACACGACCAGGCAGGGAGGAGCTCCCTGAATCTGGGTACAGGCCACTCTTCCTTCCCTTTCCCACGACAGATCACAACGAGGTGAGTGACTCCCTGTTCTTACCCAACTCCTGTCCAAAGCGCCATTCACGCAGATCTCCCCAGGCTTGTGCATGCTTGGAGTAGACACGCCCAGGCAGGGAGGAGCTCCCTGAATCTGGGTACAGGTCACTCTTCCTTCCCTTTCCCACGACAGATCACAACGAGGTGAGTGACTCCCTGTTCTTACCCAACTCCTGTCCAAAGCGCCATTCACGCAGATCTCCCCAGGCTTGTGCATGCTTGGAGTAGACACGCCCAGGCAGGGAGGAGCTCCCTGAATCTGGGTACAGGTCACTCTTCCTTCCCTTTCCCACGACAGATCACAACGAGGTGAGTGACTCCCTGTTCTTACCCAACTCCTGTCCAAAGCGCCATTCACGCAGATCTCCCCAGGCTTGTGCATGCTTGGAGTAGACACGCCCAGGCAGGGAGGAGCTCCCTGAATCTGGGTACAGGTCACTCTTCCTTCCCTTTCCCACGACAGATCACAACGAGGTGAGTGACTCCCTGTTCTTACCCAACTCCTGTCCAAAGCGCCATTCACGCAGATCTCCCCAGGCTTGTGCATGCTTGGAGTAGACACGCCCAGGCAGGGAGGAGCTCCCTGAATCTGGGTACAGGTCACTCTTCCTTCCCTTTCCCACGACAGATCACAACGAGGTGAGTGACTCCCTGTTCTTACCCAACTCCTGTCCAAAGCGCCATTCACGCAGATCTCCCCAGGCTTGTGCATGCTTGGAGTAGACACGCCCAGGCAGGGAGGAGCTCCCTGAATCTGGGTACAGGTCACTCTTCCTTCCCTTTCCCACGACAGATCACAACGAGGTGAGTGACTCCCTGTTCTTACCCAACTCCTGTCCAAAGCGCCATTCACGCAGATCTCCCCAGGCTTGTGCATGCTTGGAGTAGACACGCCCAGGCAGGGAGGAGCTCCCTGAATCTGGGTACAGGTCACTCTTCCTTCCCTTTCCCACGACAGATCACAACGAGGTGAGTGACTCCCTGTTCTTACCCAACTCCTGTCCAAAGCGCCATTCACGCAGATCTCCCCAGGCTTGTGCATGCTTGGAGTAGACACGCCCAGGCAGGGAGGAGCTCCCTGAATCTGGGTACAGGTCACTCTTCCTTCCCTTTCCCACGACAGATCACAACGAGGTGAGTGACTCCCTGTTCTTACCCAACTCCTGTCCAAAGCGCCATTCACGCAGATCTCCCCAGGCTTGTGCATGCTTGGAGTAGACACGCCCAGGCAGGGAGGAGCTCCCTGAATCTGGGTACAGGTCACTCTTCCTTCCCTTTCCCACGACAGATCACAACGAGGTGAGTGACTCCCTGTTCTTACCCAACTCCTGTCCAAAGCGCCATTCACGCAGATCTCCCCAGGCTTGTGCATGCTTGGAGTAGACACGCCCAGGCAGGGAGGAGCTCCCTGAATCTGGGTACAGGTCACTCTTCCTTCCCTTTCCCACGACAGATCACAACGAGGTGAGTGACTCCCTGTTCTTACCCAACTCCTGTCCAAAGCGCCATTCACGCAGATCTCCCCAGGCTTGTGCATGCTTGGAGTAGACACGCCCAGGCAGGGAGGAGCTCCCTGAATCTGGGTACAGGTCACTCTTCCTTCCCTTTCCCACGACAGATCACAACGAGGTGAGTGACTCCCTGTTCTTACCCAACTCCTGTCCAAAGCGCCATTCACGCAGATCTCCCCAGGCTTGTGCATGCTTGGAGTAGACACGCCCAGGCAGGGAGGAGCTCCCTGAATCTGGGTACAGGTCACTCTTCCTTCCCTTTCCCACGACAGATCACAACGAGGTGAGTGACTCCCTGTTCTTACCCAACTCCTGTCCAAAGCGCCATTCACGCAGATCTCCCCAGGCTTGTGCATGCTTGGAGTAGACACGCCCAGGCAGGGAGGAGCTCCCTGAATCTGGGTACAGGTCACTCTTCCTTCCCTTTCCCACGACAGATCACAACGAGGTGAGTGACTCCCTGTTCTTACCCAACTCCTGTCCAAAGCGCCATTCACGCAGATCTCCCCAGGCTTGTGCATGCTTGGAGTAGACACGCCCA